CATTCCGCCGCCCATTCAGTTGGTGGACGTGGTTTGAAGGGGATATCGGCTGGAAAAATGATTGAAATGTCGGAGATACTTAAGTGGCACTGAAAGCAAACGATTGACTAGCATTTTTCACAACCTACCAGCCCGATTAAGGGTAGAACTGATATTGCGACTGGAGGAGACAGAGTTCGAGGCGCTTCGGACAAGTCCGGCTGTGATTATTGAGACACCACTGTTCCCAGCAATCCGGAGGGGGCCAACGCCAGTGTCCTTCGCAAGTAACCAACGTTTTTCCAAGGTGGCGTCAGACTCGAATAGGTTATCCAGCCGACTGTCCAAGTAGTGACAGACCTTTGCAAGAATGGAAAAATTAGTCTAAGGTTTCGCTTCATCATGAATTAATCTATACATCCAATCGTCCATTTAAACTAGCCCATCTATCTGGGTTCATTGACAGCATGAGCCTAAATCCCGCTATATTTCATCACCTGTATCAACAAGGAGTTGAGTAGTGGCGAACCGGTCGGCGGATTTGCTAGCAGCGTTGGCTGTTGTAGCGCAGGGTGTCGTGTTGCGCGAAGTAGAAGAGCGGCTTGAAGTAAATCCATTGCGGCGCGTAGGCCTGCATCCTGCAGTGGCACTGCTGCCGTTGACTCCAGTGCAACAGTGGTCACTGACACCGCAGCCTGCAAATTTGAATTCAGAAGAATGGGTGCCGAGTGATGCTGTTGTGGAGCCACAGTCGTTGCTTCCTCCAGTCCCTCTGCCTCCATATTTGGTAACAACGAAGGGGTCGCGTCAAACTCCGTTGCCGGTAGCATTGTGGCTTCCAATACAGCGGTGCATCGAGCCAAGCCCGTGGTAAGCCAAACGTAGATCGGTGCCTCAAAGCCCTCTTCAATGAGGGGCAAGTTCTGATAAACTGACAGAGGAGTATACTACTTATTTTGCGTAATCAATAGACCAACCGTTGTCGCAGACTCTCGTATAGCAAAGCATAGTATCAGCTAAGTGCAATATTTATAGAGCTCAGTAACGTTTACACATGAAAAAACCACGAATCTCCAATTGAGTTAAGTTCTAGTGAACGAGTAACCACGTCCTACTTGTAAGTGCTATCAGCAGAATTGTTAGAGCGGTTTACTTAAGGCATCAGGTTTATAAGTAGACGTACCGGCCTGTAAGCAACCAATAAGCCAGAGGAACTGCTCCCTAGTGGTAAAGAGATCACTGCAAAGAACTGCAGACTTGACCACTGCAGTGAGAACTGACAATGAGGGTACCGACTGATCCAAGGAAGGTATAGTCTCTGAGACCGTCAAAGGCGATTCATCGGCATTTTCTGTCTCCGTTATGGGGTCCATGTAAGCCTTATCCTCGCTATCGAGAACTCCAGTGAGAAGAATTGATTCGCCGAAAGCTAGCGGAGGATGAGAAATAAAGTCGGAAGAAGACGAAGATCGAACACCACGTTTGAAGAATTGAATAAGCTTATTCCGCTGAGAGGATAAGGTGAATGCTCTAGACGTGGAATTCGAGTTCCCTGATTCACCTACACCCCGAGCCCTGTCGAGAAGTCGCTCTTCGAGAGGACGAAGCCAAGCGTGATGAACCAAACGTAGAGATTGGAGGCAAGAAAAGATGGTGTCTGCTTCGAAGCCCATTGGCTCTGGATGAAAAACGGACAATGAAGGAAGCTGCAGTGCTGTTTTTATTAAATCATGCTTCACCGACTAACCATTAAGTGAATGAAGCATCCACTTCACTAAACACTCAATTGGAACTTGGTTGGCCGGCGAGTCTAAATCCGCCGGATGCTGAAGATCCAAATTGGTGGAGAGCCAGGACAGGCATTCCTCTGACTTGCCAGCGTCGCATCCGATCACTGCGCTGGTCGACGGAATGTCATAAAACCACGCATTTGCTTCCTGATCCAGACGACTCAACACATGTCCGATTCTACCACCGAGTCTGTAGAAGGCATTAGAATAGCGTTCCGACTGTTTTTCTGGAACAGATTGGAGTGATACGACTTACCGAGTGTGCATGAACTGCGGAGGCAGGGAAAGACGCGGCTGATGCAGTGGCGAACTGTTCAACGGGTCACCAGGTCGTGGACGATGCGCAGCGTTGAGAAGGAGACGAGTCAGAGCGTTAAGACCCAGAACGCGGCAGTGATTCACTTCCACCAGTTCCTAGATAGGTAAAATGTAAAATTGAAATGGTGAACCAATCAGAAATGGAGCTTAACATGCCAAGATTCTACAGCGACTTCGACAGCAAAATTTTCTCCCAATGTTGACATCATCCATACCTCTTTGCTGTTCACGAAAGGATTCTCTCCCATCTCCGCTTCCAAAGATGGGGATGGAAATGACGATGGTGGTGGAGTGCACACTGCTAGCAGAGCATTCCAAGTGGACTCAAACATGGAGCGGTCAAGCCAGCCTAATGAGAGTAGCCATGATGAGTTCTCAGCTAGTGCGTCACGATCCATCTCCATCATACAATCAGGGTTCCACTGGTGAACACCCACGCCACCATTGCACCCGTCCTTGCCACTGGCGCCGTTTGTAGTGTTGCCATCCATTGCAAGGTTGGTAAAGGTGTTGGGTTGATGGAGACGCGGCATCACTTCAAGCCGGCGACAAAGAGCTGATAGGAAGATAAGACGTTTGGTGCATTACCTTCCCGCTTGCCTGGCTTCATAGCTACTCATAAATCCATTTCTCTTTCGCAACTCACCAATCAGGAAAGCAGAAAATTGTTCAGGAATATCTGAACTAGCCATTCGGAGGGCATGAACATAACGGAGACCAACAGAGGAGAGTCGACACAAGCCCATGACGCTGGCGAGAGCCACCCTACTTTTTTCACTTGAACCAACACCTCCACTAATGGTACCTGCATTAGCGGCGAAGCTATTCAACACCTCAGTGAAACGCGTCAGGGTGTAAGCGGAGGTTATGGAACGGAGGATGCCTGGTTGCCGAGGCACCAGGAGACAACGAAGACGTGACACAAGGTGTTCAAGACTTGTGTCCTCATCCCCAACCGCAGCATGGTAAGGTGAATTCATGAGAGTGGCAGAACGCGAAAGAGAGGCTGAAGGG